GGGATAGAAGACATGGGACTGCAGCCTACTCTAGCTGAACTGCTTTTCTCTCAGATGGGAGTTTGCTGGTCAGCCTTAAAGCCTTGTCTCTTCTCTATGGGGAAGGGAGTCACCTCTCCATCCGTTCACTGCTTAAATAGTATCTCCAGCATGGTGCATGCTGTTAGGGTACCAGAAGCAGCAGGAAGAAAGTCTAGGGAGTGTACTTAATTCTGGTGTGAGTGGGGCTGGAACCCATCAACTCTTCTAACGAAGGTCAGTAACCTCCCTTTTCTGGTTCTGCTGTTGGAGTTGATGGAAATTGATTTTTATAACAGAACTGTGAAATGTCAGCTCATTTCATTTGGCCCCTCCTTTAATGGGAGTCTCTAATGTACAGGACAATTCTGTTTGAGCAGGCTGGTGCGGAGCCATGCTCCGGCTGTAGACATGCCCTGGAAGACAAGAGACAAGTTGGCAACTTTGCGCTCCGGGACTGCGTTGCTGAGCACTGCTATAATCTCAGAGTGATTCAGCAGAACCCCTCAGCCTGCAAATCTGCCTCCCCTGTTGCAGTCTAATGTTTCATGTGACAGTGAAATAAATAAACAAAGGTTCAGTGGCAGGTGAGGGAGGAGAGCTGTGACTCAACAGCCCTGTAGCTTCCGGGGCTGCTCACAACGTCGATCTCTGCTTTCTCAACCATAGACAGTGCTCTGTGCTTGCTCAAGTTTTTTGCCACGGGAAGGAGAAGCAAGCTGAACTGAACCTGGTGCCCTTGCCCATGACTAGGTGGCACCCAACAGTGTTAGATAGGATGCAGGCTCATAGGGTGGTGCAGGCACCTTCTCCATGGGGAAACGGTTACTTAGAGAATGGGCAGAGGGTATTGGTGTGCATCAGTTGCTCCAGTCCTGATTTTATTATTTGTTATTCTTCCACCATCAATAAAAGAGGGCATTTAGGCCCAGAGACAAGATGATCCACAGAAACTGCAGGTATTTGATTGTATCATGTCTCAGAGCTGCTGTCATTTTGGCTGCTGATAAAGGAAAAAATAATTCTGAAATGCTCAGTGTAGGGCAAGGGATTTGTTTCTTGAGGTTTTTTTGGTTCTGACTACTAAGAAATCTAAAACACAGGGCCTGAACTGCAAAGCATGGGCAGGGGATGGGCTGAGCATACTTAATTTAGCTTAATCTAGAGGAAAAGCAGGGTAGGTGGCTGTGCTCTGGCCTTCAGAAGCTGTGGGTTTCAGTTGAGCAGGTGCCACTTCTGAGCAGGCCTTGCTCATCCTACAGCTCAAATTGTGCTGGCAGCAGCTGTTGTGAATCTGGCATAGTTCTGGCAAACCCTTTCCAGGTGAGAGTTATGGTACAGCTCTGGGCTCTTTCCTGGCTGTGTGTGCAGGCTGCAAGCTATGTTAGGCTTAGCTGCTGTCATGATGGAGCTATAGCTGGGGAAGGCTACCTTAGCTTCCCAGCCTTTCTAGAAAGAAATGGGAGTGATATGTGGAGCAGCTGGAGAGAACAAGCCCCTACTGCTTTGGGCTCTGCCAGCCCTCCTGGCCATGCTGGCACAGTTATGCATGGGTGATGTGTGGGGCCGGACCCACTCTCCTCATCGCTGCCTCCTCGGGAGCCAGGGGGCTGAGGAGCGCAGGGTTTATGTGATGTGAGGAAGAGGACTAATAGCAGGCAGGTGGAAAGCAAGCCAGCCAAATGGGCTGAGCAATCTGTCCAGGAATTATCCTGGACTGCTGGTGTCTGTAGGGTATCTTTCTTCTAACTACCAGCCCCCAAGATGAGGCTGGATCAGTTGAGCACCAGAAAACTCCTGAACTCCCAAAAGGGCTGCCCAGGGCTCTGAGTGAAAGCCTTGAATAAATACTTCCTGTGGTTTAAAGAACAGCATGTTTGTAAGGCAACTGAGCAAACAGACCCACTTCTCGCAGGGTGTAAGCCCTTCAAGTGTTATGCTCAAGTCCTGTTGGAGCAGAGACCTTGATGTTTGAGATAAGGACAGCTTCAGAAGTTGCTGATACCAGGGCATTTGTCATGCTGGCCCTCAGTCAGCTTTTATAATGGACTTGTGGTCTTTAATAAATAAGAGTATTGATTGTCCCAGCTGTCAGGAGGCCAGGGCAGCTGCTGCATTTGACAGTGTTTGGGTTAGCAGCCCTTCCTTGCAGGCCTCTGCCATATGTGTAAGCAATGTGCATATTGTGTGCTCCCTGCCAAACTATCCCCAGAAGGCTCTTGACAGCATGCGGTGTTTTCTTGGGGACAAAAAAGATTAAAACTTTGCTAAAAAGTAAGGGAGATAATGACAACCATCTTGTAATTGGACCAACTGTAAATATCTAGCTTGAAACCCTGAGATCTGATGAAAGGGTGTGTTTTTTAGTATGGCAGCAACTGAAGACCATTTATATTGTCCTGCAAAATCAAGTTTTACATGAGAAGTCACAGGTAGCTTTAAAGGTCTTCCCTTGTATGCTGGGGCTGATAATCTACCCCTGCTTTTGCTGGCTCAGGGCAGTACCTGCAGGATGGTCCTGTGGAGTTGCAGACATCTGCTCAATTGGATAGACCAAGGAGCCAGGCAGATTTTAAACCAGGTAAACGCTAACCACCTGACATACTGTGGTCTTATTTGACTGGATGTAGGAGTCTCTGAGCTGCTGCATTAGCAGCCATTGCAAATTTTAACAGGGAAGAAAACATTGCAGGTCTTCAATAGTGATCTGCCCTTCTGAGTTGTCAGGGTCATGTGAAATGCCCCTTCAGAACAGGGGCCTGAAAGGTATGAGGCAGGTTTACTCTTGAGACTTGTCTCTGTCCTTTCCATCTGTACACAGAGCATGTAAACAGCTACATGTATGTAGGACCTTTCCTAGGTGGTAAACTGTTTTTTCTCTTTTGTGTTTTCAGGACAGCCAGTGTGGGACTGTAATCGATGTCAACATAGAATGTGCTGTGAAGCTGGTAGGAACCAACTGCATCCTCTACCCTGTCAACAGCAAAGACCTGCAACATATCTGGGTGAGAACACAGCCAAAATACACATGGGAGCCAGGGCTTGGTGGTTTGGAGGGATGCTGCTGTGTTCCAAGTAACACATGCAAGGGAGCATCCATATTGTACAAGATGCATTTGCAGTTTGGTTTTATTTTAAACTTACTGAAAGCATCCTCCCTGGAAGAAGATGATGCAGCATCGCCTCATCTCCCCATCTGTTCTGTGTTTCTGATCACATCACTGAGACCAAATTGACTTGGAGGGCTAGGTTGACATGAAATTGTGTGTGAACTTCTGCACTGAGATGGGGGACTGGTGTGATGACCTGATCGGGGCAGCCCTATGGCAGTGGCACAGGGCTTCTGAAGCTGCAGTATTGTTATTGTTTAAACAGGCTTATAAAAATGCTGAGAGGAGTCAAGTATCTTTCTGCTGAGCTGGAACAGTCTGAAATGTACCTGGTTCTCCCTCTTGAGTGGGTGGGTGATTTCCAGAGACCAGGTGGGATAGGATTTCATCATTCTTTTTCCTCTGAGAAAAAGATAATTTGGGAGTGCAGAGCAGGAGTGTCAAAACCCTTCTCAAGAAACAGCTTGTGGAACGGCAGTGGGATACAGACTTCTCTACTTGGAATGGAATATTAGGCTTAGTAATAAAAATTAATTGTTAATATTGGCTGAAAGCAAGTGTGACTTAGCAAGTTTAAGATCTGAGGAAAAAATCCGAGAAAGCCCGAGCTGTTTAACTGGAGAATCCAGGCTATGTGCTGTCTGTCAAGCAAGCTTTTAAATGTACATTTATTCTGGTTTACAGTGAAATCTGCAGTTGTCATAAATCCCTTTGAGATTGCTATCTCATCTGCATTGTCTGAGGACTTACTTGACGGCTCAGAATACAAGGGTTGATGTTTATAAGGCTTGTTTCCTGTTTTCTCCATAGCCTTTCATGTATGGTGACTACATAGCCTACGACTGCTGGCTGGGCAAAGTCTATGATTTGAAGAACCAAGTCATCCTCAAACTTTCCAATGGAGCCAGGTACTTCTTTCTGTCAAAGACTGTCCCCCTTGAGTTTCACGATCCTGATCTATTCTGAGAGAACTAGAAACAGGCTGGGCTTCACATTTGCATACTGATAAATCATCTGCTTGTATTATCTTCAGATGTAGAGTAAGAATACATCTTTTTGAAAACATTGAGATTCATTGGTCACCCTCTGGAAAAGCTGTTGCTTGAGAGGTGACGGATTTTTTTCAGTCCCAGCAGATCAGTCCTCCAGAACTAAAGTATGCTTGTTTTCAAGCTGCACTTCTCCCCTGGAAAAGTGGCTGTTTAAGATGGTTTGCGTATGCCAGACTTTTTCTCAGTAGGAGTGCATACTTCCACTGAGATGCAGGGAGGGAGGATTCTTACCTCTTTAAAAAAAAAAAAAAAATCTATGAAAGTGTAGATGTCTGCAGGCTAGTGGTTTTCATCAAAGATGAAAAAGCAGCCCAAGACTGAACAGGATTGCTTTGTTTTCACTGTTATTTGCAACTGTATTAGGAATGTTTTTTCAATGAAGACATAATCCAAAGTCATATCTCTAGAGAGATTTAACCAGAGGGATTGAAAGAAATATCTGGTTAACTTATTCTGTAGTTCTGCAAAGCCAGCAGAAGAATCTGTATTCTATTCCTTGTGTATGTCAAACGGTTACTTGAGAACTAAAACTGTCTGAACTCACTATGTTCACGCTGTTACTGAGGCCTGTCTTGTCCAACAAACTTTTTTATTGAAAAGGAAGGAACCAGTGGAGGGCCAAGAGGCTTATGGGCCTGGCAGCTGGGGGATAACCCATCTGTCTTGTAAATTGAGTGTTGACATTGATGTTTAAAAAAAAAAAAAAGAAAACAAATCCACAACCCTGCAGCCAGCTCTGAGTCTTTCTAAGAGAAGTGAGTAATGCGAGAGCTATAACAGATGATTGGTGGATGCGTCTGTGATTTTGATTGTTTTAGCTTTCAGTTAACGCAGACTGAAAGGCTCTTACGCATATGTTAAACTGGGAGTGAAAAATAGCTACACTTCTCTATCTGTATTGCCTGCAGTTAACTGGTGCAATTTAAAACCTTGCTTGGTTTCTGTTACCAGCTCATGCATAGCTATGTAAAATGAGGTAACTGTTTTCAAAATTTCTTCCTAATGAATCATTTGAAATCTCACCAGAACTTACTCTGGAAATGAAGCCATTACTGAAGCAAGTATACTCAAATTGCCTTTAGGTTCCAGTGTCAGTGTGAATAACAAATGGGAATTTTGCAGCAGACAAATTTTGTCCAGCACCCTGTATATTACCTATTTTTTTTACATGCTGAAGGGAACCTTTAAATACCAGACAGTGCTTTTATAGCTTGTCTGCAACCAGTTTTGCTGTGGACCATAAAGGCTTGGCAATATACTGCTGGGCATATGGACAGACCTGCTCAGGCAGTGTCAGTTAATTTGGTGCTGTTTGCTTTTGAGGTGGAGGGCTCTGGAAATGCAGCTGTGTCTCTTGTCTGTTTTCCAGGTGTTCTATGAGCACAGAAGATGGAGCCAAGCTGTATGACGTTTGTCCTCATGTCAGTGACTCGGTGAGCTTCTGGTTCTCCTGAGAATCTTTTTGATCAACTTCATCTTTTAAGCTTTTTGTGCAGGAGGGAGGGGGAAGGCAAATGCATAGGCACTTATTAATCCTAAAAATTAAATGATGTGTCACAGCTGAAAAACGCTTCACTAGATCTTCACTTGAAATAAGTGTAACAGGATGTAGCTTAAAGGTAATGTTACTAATGAGCCGGTTTTTAGGAGGTATTACAATTAGTATATCCAACTGCTTTCTTTGCAAACAACTTGCATAACATGCAGTCAGATGGCTGATGTCAAGGCAGTTCACTGTCATCTTATTATATCTGTACATGCTTGGAAAGGCTCTTACTCCATTTAATGCTTTCAAAATTATTTCCCTTGTGGAAGAGGTTGTATTGTTTAAAAGGTGTTCTGCTAGAAGCACATTTCCAGGTCATGTAAAATACTGTCTCTCTTGCTATTGTAATCCATCGCATTTGCTGAATGGAGACCGGCCACCATACCGGCATTTTCCAAATCGCATGGTAGGGAAGGTTTTGCTAGCTTTTGGGTAAAACTAGAGTTCCCTGTGTGATGATGGGATCTAACCTCTCACCTTCAAAGGCTGATGACAGCTTGCTCATTCTTCCAAACAGCATCAGGAGGGCCTTGCTGCACTCCTGGCAGCGGTATTGGGAGTTGACTGAGAATGGTGTGTAATTCTTAGGAAATAGCAATGCAGTCAGCCCTTATCCTTCCCAGCCTTCAAAGCAAAGGTCTCTTTGATCTAAAACTGCACTTCTGTTAAAATTTGATGCCTATTTCTTGAAGAGTAAATGGAATATCTGCTTAATAGGATGTGCTGCTGTGGTTTTCTTGTTCTGTACAGAAAAGGTGTGGTCTGTTGCTAGATATTCTCCAGTATCTTAGTCTCTGCTACTTTGGGTTGTGTAGTATGTTTTCCACTTGCAAAATGGATGCTGTAGCAGCATCCAGCTTCTGGGTACCCAATTTTGAGATACATTGTTTTGAGTCAGGCTGCCTTTAAAGTGTAGGTAGTCCTCTGCAGACTTGTGGTTTGGTCTGAAATGCGACTTGTCTCCAGTGTTACTCTTGATCCTGTACTCAGAATTGCTGTGTGTTAGATACTTACCTGACTTAGATCTTGTCACGCTGCTCTTATCCTTTCTGACAAATTACAAGACTTGATACAGTTTTGTGCTCAGTATTTTGTCTACCCTAAACTGCTCTGTCCGCCCCCATGTTCTGAATCTTTGGCTCATCAAGTTACTCTAAATAGCAGTGGGAAAGAGCTCTAGGACAGCAATTGTTGTTTACCATCCTGCTTTGTTTTCAAAGAACTGTCATATTAACTAATCCCCTTCAGACAGTAGTAATACTTACAAACTTAATTTGACAAGCAGAGGAGTGAAAGCAGGCATCCCCTGGCTCTGAAAGCTATAGGTACTTGAATTAGAGCATGGAAGAGATGGGTGTCCTTGTCCTGGACTCAGCCCACCTTGGCTACCTTGTTATTGAGAACATTTGCATGAAAATCCACATCTTTTGTTTCCTCCAAGTACCTTTGCTTCTCCCCCACTTGAGTCATAGTCCCATACGGATGTATGACAGAGCGGGTTGCTATAGGAACTGCTGGGCTGACTTCAGGAGAGGAATGAGCTTTAAGAGATGGGCAACTTGCAGACTTTTCCTTTATGGTTAATCTTGCTAATCATGAATGTGAGAAGAGAAATGCTGGAATCTTAAATCTTAAGCGCATGAGTCCTTTATGCTGGTTTTTTCCCCTCCCTTTCCTGCACAGGGTCTCTTCTTTGATGATTCATATGGCTTTTATCCTGGGCAAGTCCTCATCGGGCCTTCTAAAGTCTTCTCCAGTGTGCAGTGGCTCTCGGGTGTGAAGCCTGTTCTGAGCACAAAGAGCAAGTTCAGAGTGGTGGTGGAAGAGGTAAGGACTGACAAGCTGACACACGGCCACCTTCTGCACAGAATGGTCCCTGGCTGGCATTTTGGAACAAAGTCAGCTTGCCATGGTAACCTTCCAAGAGCAAATGCACTGTGGCTCTGTTCTTCTGAGGTGACAAATTCCTCATTGTGGACTGACGGGACTTTTGAGCGTGGCTTGGCTTTTACTCCCAAGGGTCCCTGCCAGCACCCTGTAAAGGTGATCATGTGCCAATACACTTAGAGGCCAGTACTGCTGATCATTAGGGTAGTAGAAGCACCTCTTCTATTGAAATGTAATGTTGCATGCTATCCAAAAATGGAGAAATGGTGCTGACTCTTGCTGAAAGAGGGAGCAGCTCCAAGTCCATTAGCATGTCTCTTTGTGACATTGGACCACGGATTTGTATGTACTATAGCTTCCTTCCCAAGCCAGATGTTGTCTGTCTTGAAGTTAAAAACTGTAGAAGCTCTCAGTGTTGCCAGTAGCCATGCTGGGGGAGCACTGTAGTAGTCCTGGATGTGGTGAAACTGCACTTAGCCATCTTAAGTGATAAAAGCAGGTTTGCTGCTTTCCTGTGCATTCAGATTCTGGACACTGGTCTAGGAAAGCTTCTGAAAAATAAAATTGCTTTCTCTCTCTTTTCATTGTAGGTACAGGTGGTAGAACTAAAGGTTACTTGGATCACTAAAAGCTTCTGTCCTGGAGGTACTGACAGTGTGAGCCCTCCTCCCTCTATAATCAGCCAGGAGAACCTGTCCAGGTGAGATCAGCTGAAAATCCCTTTTCACTCCCAGCACCCAGGGTCTGCACAGACTAAGTGACGTGCCTACCAACTGATTAGACACAATGCTGTTGTTTCCAGTGGGTTTTTCTCTTTGTTGTATGCCTGTATATTCCAGAGCTTCAAAAATGTGAGAGACTAGCATCCAAATTAGATGCGGACCAGGCCGCATCTTTTAACTGTGTGTGTGCAGTAGGCAGCTAAGGTGTCCTGCTCTGGACCCAGGCTGGTGCTGAGGGAGCATCTGGTGCCCTCTGCAGGCTACAGCTGCAAAAATGGGCTGGACAAAACTCAGAAAGAAAAGTCAGATGAGTAATAGCACAATACAGAGTAGTTCCTGCCTGGAGTTCGTAAGGAAGCTGGAGGAGAGGAGCTCTGGGATGACAGCAAAAAAAACAATGCCAGCTTCAAATGTCTCTTGGCAGCTGTCTCTGGGAGGGTAAGCTAGAGGGAGAGGAGTGACTGATGTCCTACCCAAACCCTTTATATCCCCACCCAGTCCCTGGTGAGATTTCCCACTCGTCCTTTAGAACTGTGTGCCTGGAAAAGATTTGGTGTGGTGTTGGCTTCTGCCACCCCAGCAGAAGTGCCGTTGGCATGAGGTCGTGCCAGCCTTGTGAAGGCCCTGGTCGCTACTAGGTTCTGTTACTGCTTTTGCACTTTGCTCATGGCTGTCCTCCCATTCTACCAGGGTAAAGCGTCTAGGGTGCTTTGACCATGCCCAAAGGCAGCTTGGGGAAAGGTGCCTCTATGTGTTCCCAGACAAAGTGGAACCTGCAAAAATCACCTGTGAATGCCCAGAGAGGAACTGTGTCCTGGGTGAAGGATCAGTTGCCAAAAAGGTGAGTTGAAGGGTTGAGGGAGGTGTTGACTTCTCTAAGCATTTCTGGTCACTGTGGCTTTTAAAGCAGAAATCTTCCTGGTAGTCATGTGGTCTGAAATGTGACTCCTGAAGTGGTGGTTGTAAAGAGTAATGGCTTGTTGTTGCCAGCAGCGAAGTCACCTTGTACAGCAGTCTTGCTGCACTGGGTGAAGCATGCAGCTAATGCCACGAGAGAACACGAACAGGACATTGAACATAGAGGTGTCACCTTGCAGGGTCAAGCTGTGTCAGAGCTGGTGTGCTGTGACAGCTGGGACTGTTATCCATGTCGTTTTCATTAGCATGACCTCAGGTTTCTTACAGAGCTGAACTGTTCAGTTAAATCCTTGCTACAATGAGACAAGAAGTCTTTGCTTCCTAGGCCAAATGAGTCACGCTATGGTTTCTACATGCTGGCTGTAGAGCAGCGGTGTTCCTAGAAAAACAGGCCATCAGCAGTGTGGATGGTGCCCTCCCTGCACAGCTGTGTCTGTTACATAGATTAACTTGTGCAGCCTCTTGTGACTTTCCATAACAATGTTTAGAACATGCTTAAAATAGCCTTAAAGAGCAAAACTCACTTTCCTCGGACTAGTCCGGTGCTGCTCAGGAACTGACTGGTATTTGGTCCTGAGTAGAGCAGTGGTGAGATGCTGGTTTGCAGGATACTCTGGTGCAGGTGAAATGTGCGGAGGCCTGTGGGGTGCTGGTTTCCCCTGTGTACAAAGCTAACCATTCCCCAGGTTGGCTGGCAGCTTGCTGAGTGTACAGGCATGTTGTCTGACCCAGGTCTGCTTTCTCTAGGTGAGGCGGCTGCTGAAGAAGCAGATAGTGAAGATCATGTCGTGCTCCCCAGAGTCTCAGGGTACCAATGAAGCCCCTGACAAAGACTCTGCTGCAGCTGCTGACCAAAAATCAGAAGAGCTTAAGCCTGGATCAAAGTGTGAGCTGGATGACTCTTCCAACAGTGCACCAAGTCCTGGGGAGAGAAAGGAGGAGCAGCCTGAAGAAACAGGGAAGGAGAAAGGGGGAGCAGCAGCGCGACAGCAGCAGCCTCCCTTTCTGCTGAAAGACGAAGGGTCATCTGACTACCGGCTTCAGTCCATGGAGCAAGATGCTGATGATGAGGCAGCTGATGACACTGATGACACTAGCTCTGTCACCTCTTCTGCTAGCTCCACTGCTTCATCTCAGAGTGGCAGTGGCACTGGCCGCAAGAAGAGCATCCCTCTTTCCATCAAAAACTTGAAGCGGAAGCACAAGAAGAAGAAGACCAAGATTTCACGAGAGTTTAAGCCAGGAGACAGGTCAGTTGGATTACCAAACCCAGGTATACTTGCCAAAATATCCCTTTTCAAAGTTCTCGGATGTAAAACACCTCCTCGGCTTGGGTGGAGGTAGTAACCAACACCCCTTGGTAGTAACCAACAGTGATTATCTTGTGATGACTGTGCAGTGGCCTGGCTGAAATCAACTTGGTCTCAGTCTAGCTTCTAATGAAAGTGGGGCCACGTGATGTGACACTGATGCTATTCTATCTCAGCTATGCCTCAGGGCATCGACAGAATATCTGTGCTGTGATAGACTCTGTATGCAGAGAAAGGGACAGGTGAATGAAGATCATACAGCTTAAACATGGCACTAATTGGTTACCTCATTGGCAGCTTCTGCAGACAGGCTGAGGATAGACCATGCTAGCGGGAATGGACAGCTTATCCTCAGAGAGCTGTCTCCAGATCGGCATGGCGGTCTGTGCTGGCAGGGGTTCGTACTGCAGTGGTCTCTGTTATCATTACCCTGCTCTGGAGAGACATCTGCAACTTTTGCCAGCAGTACACTTCTTATTGGGTTTTTAATGAACAAAATGCACTCCTTGAGAGCCTTGAAGGAATGTATTTCAGTAGCTTGGGGGAGGGAGGATTGCGTGTATCTGCCCATTTCTAGATAAAACTGGATCTCAGCAGCTTTTACCTTTTACGTAACTTGAGAATGTTTAAACTGTTTTCAGGGGTGCAGAGACATCTGACAGCTGGCTAGCTGTCTTGCTGGCTTCCCTGGGCTACTTAGTTTTATACAGATCCTGCATCAGAAACGAGCTAGTGCAGATAATATGTGAGAATCCTCCCAGAAAAGTGACATTATCAGGATTCAAGGGATCCAGTAGTTTGAGAATGCTATGAATTTCATTCACATTTTGTTTGGGTATTTTAGCTTTGCCTGTATGCAAGGCAAGTTGCTCCTTTAGTCCTTGTGGGTTTTGGAGAAATTGGATTTGAAGGTCACAAACATGAGCAGAGCAGCATTTGAGTGAAAGAAGAAATGGGAGTGCATGATAGAGTGCCTGGGAACTGATTCTCAGATCACTTTTCACTTCTCACACCCCTGCTGAGTGCCTCTACCTCACTAAAGGCTTTCCTAAGGAGAGCTTAGCTAGTAAAGCCGGTAGCTTTCTGCACCGTACAGGTAATGGGGACAAATCCCTGTGACAACACAGAGAGATTCCTGTGCTGGATCTGGGCAGCTCTGTATGAGGAAATGCAGAGAATCAGATGTTGGAACACTTCGCAGAGATGACCATGTCACAGAAAATAAGAAATACAGGCCTTTTTAAGCACAGAATATGAAACCCTAGCTGATACTTTAAAGGGCGTATGTGGCAGCTGGTCACAGCTTGGTATGAGGGGTCTTCACTGTTTGAATATTCAGGTGAAGCTGGTGAGACCATCAGTAGGTGTGCTGCCAAGCACTGCTGAGAAATGCAAAGTGGATGGGCTCGCTGCAGTTAGTCACCAGATCTGATGTGTCAGCTCATGGGCATCTCTGACTGCAGGGGACCAACTCAGCAAGTGGCTTTACCATCATTTAGTGACTTGCTGCAGCTCTCCAGGCAGCACATAGACCTCTGGTTACTTTTTAGTGAGGATCTACGGGGATTTTTACTAATGCCAAGTCATGATTTTTGTTTGCAAAGTGGCATAAACTGCACTGCAGACAGGACAGTATGATTTGCTTGGGTGGCCTGCATTTCCACTCTCCCATCCTCAGCTACGCATGTACCCAACTTCCCCCAAGGAACCATCTCTTGGCATGTCAGCCACCACACTTGACCTGTTACAGATTTCCTTCTCTGATAATTTCTGCTGTTGAGTGCTGGCCTACTAGAAACTTCAGATTATTTCTACTTAGAGAAATATTTCTCTGACATTCATAAAAACAGCACTGGAGGGAAACAGTTGTATTTGCCTATTGTATCTTCTTTATGGTTTGACTTGAAACCAACATAAATGCAGCACTTGTGTTATGTCTGGAAGGCCTGGCCAGCAAAATAAAGACAAAATTTAAAATCAGCATGGGATTTGATTTGTTCTGTGCTGTATGAGACATGAAAATGGTGGAGGGCTCATTAAAAGAGACTGTCCAGCTAGACTGCAGCTCTGTTCCTCCTGCCCCCAAGCAACTTGTGTCTTCAAGCAACTCTGTCAAGCTCCACAGCAGAGTACCAGCATGTGGTCCATTGTTGCATGTTTGGGTTTCATTTCTGAGCTGCAGAGACACACATGTATGTCTTTGAACAGCTGGGAAGGAGACTTGTCTCTTTTAAACAAAATCCTCTTGCTACCCACATTCAATGTGTTGACTTTTTTCTTTTTCTTTCTGGAAGGGCTGAGATGGATGCTGCTTTATCTTTCCTTTCCAGTCCCATGCTCCTAGCTTCAAAGACTCCTCAGAGCTGCCAGGCTAGAAGGTGCTTCAGTGGAGAAGATCTTAAGTTTCAAAGTATTTGAAGCTCCTGTTGTGCCTTTGCCAGGGGTAGAAAGTGGGTGCTAGTAGATGTTTAATTTGCTCCACTAGGAATAAAAGCGAGCTCAGCATCAGCTCCCTGGAAAGTAAGTCCTCCTGCAATATAGACTTGCAGCAATGTAACATCTGCAGTGATTGAGAATCTGTCAAAACAAAGCCTGCTGTGTGGCTGCTTCTACTGGGACTAGATGGGGTTTTCTGACTTGCTTCCCAGCCTGCTGATATGCGTACCCTTGTGTTGCTGGGATTGTCCTGATTCCTTATGTTGGCAGCATCACATGCTGGTTGTGCTCATGTATGTTCCCTCTGGTAACTCGTTGCCTTTCTGTGTTCCCAGGGTTGCTGTAGAAGTGGTGACCACGATGACTTCAGCTGATGTGATGTGGCAGGATGGCACTGTGGAGACAAACATTCGGTCCAATGAGCTGATTCCAGTCCACCATCTGGACAACAATGAGTTCTGCCCTGGGGATTTTGTGGTGGACAAAAGAGGTATTTGGTGTCAAAACAATGGTCTCCTCAGGGAACAAACATGCTCTAAATTGTGAAGTATTCTTCAATCTGGATCTCCTAATGTACATTGTAGCCCTTCTTACAGTAGCTGTTAGTAATACTTGCTTGAGGGTAGACACAAGAGCCTAACAAGGGACCGACAGTGATTCAGGTGACTTAACATGAATGTCAGCAGAGAAATGTTATTTAAATACCAAGGTTGAACTATGACAACAGGCAAGGTGTGAAAGGAATAAATGCCAAGGAACAAGGCTAGGATTCTCAGTATTTCTGTGGAGTAGAGGTGGCCAGCCTTCTCCTTGAAAGTGCAAACAGCTCTCGTAGAATAAGGGGAGAAATGAACAACTCGCACTGCTTTCTCTATGTGGCTTACCTATCATGACCCTCCATGTTTTCTTGGAGGGTTTTGAGTTCCAAAGGCATCTCCTTGCATCCCTTTTCGCCAAACCAATTGGTGACACTAGTGAAGGGTAACAGTACAAGTTCAAGGAGACGTACAGCTTTTGGATATGAAATATTGATGGCACACCATCTGGTGCTCGGCTCCTCTGTTCTAGCAGGGATAGACCCTCAACAGTGGGAAGCACAATATACTGTCAGATTGGGAAGAGGGAAAGCTAGCTTAGCAAAAAAAGATGCTGTTTTGCATGGCCATTTCTGATGACTGGTCTTATGGGTTAGACATTGTTTGTGGAAACTAAAGTTATCCATCAGCTCTAGCTCTACCATTCTAGTTTGGCCTCTGGGAGGAATCTGTATTCCTCTATGTCTGTCAAATGTACTCTCCAAGCAGTCTGGGGTGCCTGTGGTTCCTTGCATCCCCCTGCTAAGGATGCCAGGAGGTGTATCTTGTCAGCCAGATAAATCTGAAAGGTATCTGGATACCAGTGTGCTGGATAACAGCCTAGGCCTAGAGGGGTGGTCCAGGCCCAGCTTTGGTGCTGTTGGATTCCCAGTGCATGTCTATGCACATGTATGCCTGCCTGCCTTCCACCTTTGTTGTCCAGTCCATTTTTCCAGAGGAGCAAAACTGTTGTGGGTGGCACATTTCTAGATGAAGAGCTTGGCAGCCAGGGCTGCTCGCAGGGAGCTCTAGGCCAGCCTGTCCGCAAACTCTGACAGTCATGGTGTAGAGCTAATTTGGAGAGCAGAGCACTAAGGTGGCAGCGTGTTTTCTCTTGGTGATAGAGCTTGAAAGTGGTCACAAAGTGAATGTGTTCACCCAGTGCAATGCAACATAATCTTACTTTATCATCACTCCATGCCCCATTAAAATGCAACTTGTTAGCTGAGTACAATTTTGACTGTGTAGGAAGAACTGTTTTTCTTCATGCCACTCACAAATGGAAGGTTTCAGCTGTGAGAGCTTGGGAGCTGACAGCCTCAGTTGCTGTGTAAAGTCTGTGCTCCTCCACTTAACTTGTCTATTTTCTTCCCTACCATTGCGGACAAAAGCTCAGAGCTCCCAGGACCCCGGGTTATATGGAGTCGTCCAGTCTGGTGACCATATTGGCCGTACCTGTGTGGTGAAGTGGTTCAAGTTGAAATCCAGCGGAGATGATGTGGAGGTAAGTGCAGGAGCCAGCGCCTGTTGGAACCAGCGAAGAGAAAGCAGCCACAAAACAGCACAAGCTTCACAGATAAGCCTGGGAGTCAGCTCTGCAATGGAGTTTGTCCTTGAGGATGGGAACAGCAATGTGCTTTGGGCTTGGGAGGCTTAGCTAGAGGTGGTGTTGCTTCATATTTGTAGATGCCTGCAAGGCAACAAAGACCAAGCAGAGGGTTTGCATCCCATAGTCAACATCAGGCGCTGGTATGGATGAGATTTTTTGCTGAAGTTGTCACAGACAGTTGATTTCTTGAGATCGCTGTAAGAATTTTTCTTTCCCATGTCTTTGCTAGTTCATGGAAAGAGGATCAATCTATTGTGTGTCGTCCTGCTTGCCTCTGCCAGGCACTATTGCCTATAGTCAGCCTAATACCTTTTTCTCGGAGCTTGTAGGAAGTGTATTATGCAGAGTCTTGATAGACTACAGTCTAGTTGGGTATAAGAGGGAGGCTTGGACCACACAAATCTGGTGTACTGCTTTCTGCCTTAGGATGGGAGACCACATTGCATAACTGAGCACAGGGCCTTCTACATACAGAAGTAGAGCATCAGTCTGGCCTGGCATTGTGTTCCACTTTACCTATTTCTCATTATTTGTGGGCTCCTAGCTCTCTTCCTCCAGGAAAAATCAAAGGAAAGATATTTCTCATTAATTGACAAGGGTTCTTTTTGTCAGACACTTCCTGTTGCCTTGGATCGTTCCAAAAGTAAACTCTAACCCTCTGGGCCACAGTGAACTGCTTTGAGAAATCTGAGTGTTCAGAAGGGGATAAAATGTTGTTCTTGCATGTCTGGTGGTTGTAGTGACCTGGAACCTGAAATAAAGGTGAGGGTGAGCATGAGACGGAATACCTGCTTCCTTTCGTTGTTGTGCCTTGAATGATGTGCTGCTACAGGATGAGGGGACAAGAAGTGACAATTAGCAGCTCCTTGCAGTCTGTTGGAGCAACTGAAAATTGACAAAATATAACACAAAGTACTTTCAAGTGTTGAAGGCATGCTCCGAAGGTCAGTGCAGTATCCTGGGTCTGACATGTTCACATTCTGTCTCTGATGCAGCTGATCGGGGAGGAAGAGGATGTGAGTGTGTATGATATTGCTGATCATCCAGACTTTCGCTTCCGTACTACTGACATTGTGATTCGCATTGGCAACTCAGACGGAGCCACAGCTAAGGAAGATGAGGTAGGTTCTGGGCACATTTATGTGACCATGTTGTCACCAGGTATTAGCAGAGACACTTGAAAGAGTCAATATGAGGGTCTTGGGGAGTTTAGGATTCCTCTGTGGGCCTAACTTGCTAGTTTTGTATCAGTGTCCCCTGCTGTCATGAGTAATGTATTAAATGTCTTAAGTCTGGAGTTGTAACCTTGAAACTGTTTGACCTCAGTGACAGAGTCTATAGCAGAGCAAGAACAAAGTTGAGACAATCAAACATATGCCTGAGGGTTTTTAATAAAACTCTTGCTTAGGATTTGAGAATAACTTCTAATATGAAGATATTCTGTGGGCTCCTGAGCAAGAGTGAAGGTGGATTTGTCATGAAACCAGTTTCACTTGGCAACAGAAGACTGGGGTTCTAGTTTTCATCCGAGTTATGTACATACTAATTTTGTTGAGCTGATTGATCTCCTGGGGAGGAAGAGAGAACAATTCATATTGTAGAGGATACACTTTTTGCTAGGAAACAGGCTTCCTTACTGTGCAGGGAAGACCTCCAGCTTTTGCAACTGCTGCCCTAGAAAAGGGTTAAAAGGTGTAGTGTGGCTCTTATTGTGGTTCTAGTTTCAGCAGCATGAAAAACATCCAAGCTTGCTCAGCTGACCTAAAAAGCCTTCTTCCAGTGCGAGATGCTGCTTACTGTGTGCACCCCGTGCCAGCTGTGACTTGTCTGTTCGCCCTGCGCCCGCGCTGCTGGGAGCCCACCATGACGGGTGTCAGAGCCCGGGGCCAGCTGTTGGCGCCCCGCTAGAGGGCAGCCCGCTGCAGAGCAAGGTCCTGTCCCCTGGCTGGCACAACCCCGGGTGCCGCCTGCAGAAAGGCCATGGCCCTGCAATGGCTTTGGTCCTGACCAGAAGTCAGGATCTGCTGCTGCCAGACCAGCCTTCCTGGTCCTCTCCTCCTTGGGGGGGACAGCGGAATTTTCCCCATCTCCGTGCAGTGTTGTGGGGTTTCTCATGGAAACCCTATCTGTATGATTCTTCTTCCTCTTGGCATGGTACCCCAGGACTCCAGCCTCCTGTGGCAGGCTGCCGTCATTGTTTTAGGTAGGTCTCCAACCTGGGGAATACCTGTTTCTCAAAACCTTTCTGGCTCTGCACTGAAATGCCTGGGAAAGAAGAGGGACTGACAGACTGCTTTTGTTTCCACAGCCTTCGGTCGGACAGGTAGCTCGTGTGGATGTCAGCAGTAAAGTGGAAGTGGTGTGGGCTGATAACTCCAAGACTATCATTCTGCCTCAGGTGAGGTCCTGTTCCAGCTCGCAATATCGCTGTAATTCTTAGCTGAGTGACAAATCTTGGTTTCAAATCCTGGGTGCAGAGAGATTCACTGTGTAAGGGAATCTTGTTCTATTTATTGCTGCTTTTCTATATGATAAGGTGGCTTCCTGATTCTGTTAGCGCAAGAAAATCCTTCCTTTGTCAGGAGGACTGGGCAACTAATTGGTCATCGCTGCTCTTGAATGTAGAGAATAAGAAAGTACGGGCAGACTGCTCCCTTCACATGCTGCACTGCATGTTCACAGCTCTGACCACAGCCCTGCTCCTGGCCTCCAGCACCTGCTGCTTTGCAGAGGGGTTGTAGAGCTCAGGGATCATCAGTTCTGACTTGAGCCCAGGTTCACTGTGTTGCCCAACTAAGGTACTGCTGAGAGGATTGCTTGCTCTGTCTTGTGAAATGGCATTGTAGTGTTTTCTTTGGCTAAAGAAGCTCCTCCAGAAGCTGGGCTAGAGCCACAAGTTGTGACTTAGCTAGCCTAGGGATCGGACCCAAATCTCTTCCCAGGGCAGGGAGGGAAAGGAGTTAAGTGTGAACTTAAAAGTATAGATATAGCCACACTAATCCACTTAACCCCATTGATTTGTCTTCTGTATTGTTCTAAGGTTTTTGTTGTACTGTCTTGTAGTCTTATTCACTACTCCACATACAGTTTCATCCTGTCTCTCTTCTCCTTTTTGCCTCAAATTAAGGCAGACAGCCTAAAGATAAGAAAAGACCTGCTTCTGTAGGGTCCTATCTCCGTCACTGTGGTAGAGAACACCACTGCCTCCGCTGCAGAGATCCGTTTGCAAGTAGAAAGCACTTGATCAAGATTTCTTTTTAAACCAAGCAGCTCTGCATTAATTACAGTAGAATAGTCAATGCCTGCACTATGGCAGTGGACTGTAGCATTACAAAGCAGGCTGCTGTCTCCCTTCCCCCTGTTGTCACATGTGCTTGGATCACAGGCACAATCGGAGGTCTGATGTGTGTTCCACAAAGGGCTGTTCTCGCACTGCAGTGCTGGGGCTCTGCAGCAGCTCCTGCTGTGTCACGCCAGTCCCTTCGATTCCGCTCATCTGTGTAATTATGGGAGTTGGGGAAATGTCAGGAGTGTGAATTATCAGTTGGTAAAACCGTGATTTATCAATGCCTGTCCATGTGCCCAGAGACGAGCTGTCTGGGTGCTTTTTCTCAGCTCTAAAAATAAAGATGGCATAACTGGCTAATTAACTTTCCAACTCAGATTTGGATTAGCTTTGAGGGCAGTGAGTTTTGATGGCTTTTCCTGCCTGCAGTCACTTGTGTTGAACCCAACTAACCCCTGCTGGCTGCCTGTCTCTGGGTGGCACAGGACTAGCTGAACTGTGCTGGTTCAGTTCAAGGCTTTGACAAGACAACTGAATGTCCATGTGCTTTAGCCTCTGGGCTTATACCTTGCCAAGATTAAGAGCATTCTCGGGCCCTCAGTCAGAAGCCTGTGGATAAAATGCTCCATCATGAAACTCCTAACACAGCCTTACAAAGCTGTTCTTGCTCCCCTGCCTCTATGTTGGAGCTTGTAGCTGGGATATGCCTGTAAGCCTCTGCAGGGAAACCTCATGAGAGATGTAGCCTGTGCAAAAGCATGATTATAACAGGTGAGGCTAGATGGGGTGTGGGTGGGTTCAGCTTCCAGTAGTGAAGGGGAAGAGAAGGTTTTATGTAAGAGCTTATTCAGCAGTTTGGGTTAGGCTTCATTGTCCCAGCTGAATTTTAAGCAGTAGTGACATACAACAGCTAAAGCAGCGTTGTGTGCCACAGAAGAAGAAAGCTGGTGTGGGAATGTTTTCCTGGTTCCAGCATTGTCTTTGTGGAAGGCGCAGAGTGGAGTGTGGAGGCAGCCAAACCAGGGCTCTGTGCCAACACAGTTGCTGGTGCAGAAGCACGACCAGAAATACTAACTCTGCACTCGATACCCAATACCTCCTGAACTAGCTCTGCAGTCAGAAACACTGGGGCATCCAGGTAGCTGTTTGCTGGTGCCTGCGTGCTCTCCTTGGCTGGATCCCAGCCACTGGGATGGCTGCAGCCCACCTAGAACTTGCCCTAGTTTTTCCCCAATGTCCTACTTTGAAAGGTGGAGGATGGGGCTATGGTGATTCATAATCTGTGACAGTCATTGATGAGCACATTATTCAGATCAAACACAGTCCACCCTGTATAGATGGAAGGGGTTGAAACAGCCCAACCAATCCTAGATGGAAGCTCCCTTTTCACGGGGAGAGCTGACTTGCATTTAAAAACAACTAAAACTCTGTGGTTCAGCCTAAGTTTCTTATAACTCTGCTCTCCTTTAGCACTTATACAATATTGAATCAGAAATTGAGGAGTCGGACTATGATTCTGTTGACGGCAGCACCAGCGGGGCATCCTCTGAGTGGGAGGATGAAAGCGACAGCTGGGAGACAGACAATGGCCTCATGGAAGACGACCACCCAAAAATTGAGGAGTTAGAGCCTGAGGAGCCGGCAGCAGAGGAGGTGAAAAAAGTAGAGGAACAAGTCCAGGGAGCTGTGGCTATGGCAGTTGCAGATCTTGCTGCAGAGAAAGCTGGCAAGGACGGAGCCCCAAAGAGCTTCCGGGAACTAAAAGAGGCCATAAAGATCTTGGAAAGCCTGAAAAATATGACTGTGGAGCAGTTGCTGACTGGCTCTCCCACCTCCCCAACTGTGGAGCTGGAAAAACCCACTCGGGAGAAGAAGTTCTTGGATGACATTAAAAAGCTGCAGGAAAATCTAAAGAAGACCTTGGATAATGTGGCTATTGCAGAGGAGGAAAAGATGGAAGCCATGGTGGAGACTGAGAAGAAAGAAGAAAAAGCAGAGGCACAGACACCAGTGAGGTCAGAGTGGCCCAGTGAGACACCAGTGCTCTGCCAGCAGAGTGGAGGCAAGCCTGGAGTCACCTTCACCAGTGCCAAGGGAGAAGTCTTCTCCGTGTTGGAGTATGCTCCAGGTGAGTGTGTCAGGTCAGGCCACTGCGGGATACTCTGTCCTTCGTTGCTGTCCTGCAGTGTTTCTTTCTCCAAAACCTTTGCTTCTAGGCCTTTTGGATTGGGTATCCTCTCTTCTTCTTAGTCCATCCTTTTCACAGCTCATTAACTGGGGAAGAGAAATTAAGACAACTTCTGTAGCACAGTCTGTTCTGGGACTTAAACCTGGCTTTTAGATGGCATCTCTAGGCACTACTGTAACTTGTCAAGCCACAGAAGTGGGCTTCCCCTTTGTCCACATTGGTAACTAAATTCAGAGGGCTGTGGAGGTCAGTTGCTTTCCATTGCAGGTACTTTCTTGAAAGCTACAGGGTTTGTTCAAGCTTTTTTGCAGGGATGGATTGGTTGAGAAGCAGAGCAGGAACAGCTGGTGTTCTTGTGCTGGGTGTCCTTGGTGGGTGAGTGTCCTTGTTCACTTGCGCCAATGTTAATCAGCCAAAAATAAAAAAGAGCATCTGGTTGTGTGGAACACTGGTGACAGTGGAGCCCAAGGTGCTCGGCGAGCCAGGCAGCTGGGCCAGACGTGAGAAGGAAAGGTGGCCAAACTGTTCTGAACCTGCAGGTGTGTATAAATACAGATGGGGAGCTATGCTTAGGTTTTGCAGAGAAAGGGTCATCACTTTGTGAGATGCATCATTGTCCCAGCTGTGGGACAGGGCTCCTTGTGGGGCACAGGGACAATGTTGTGTGGGACCATGAGAACAGGAGATGTGGGTTGTGGCTGCTGTACAGTGTGGGAAAAATCAGACTATCTCTAGGCTGCCTCCTGGCTCAGCACCAAAGCAAGTCAACTCTTCCCTTCCAAACTGTAGGCTTAACACATGGATAGATTGCTCTCTCAAGGAACCTGCAGCAGTTTCCAAAGGCAGACTTTAATCCCATTCTCCTTGCCCCGCAGATACCCATGCCTTCAAGAAAATGGAGTTTCAGCCCCCAGAAGCGAAGAAGTTCTTTAGCACCGTGCGGAAAGAGATGGCTCTCCTGGCCACCTCCCTGCCTGATGGCATCATGGTTAAAACCTTTGAGGACCGAATGGCAAGTGTCTGCTCTCAAATGCCTGTGTGTTAGTGCTGGGCTCAGCATCCGGATTGCTTTCTTTGGAATTCCCTGCTTAGCCTTAATCCTTAGCATTAGAGATGCAGGAATGTGTGCAGCATGTGAAATATGGCTGTAATTACTGTAAACGGCTGCTTTTGCATTCCCTAAGTCAGGGTGACAAACAATGGGGAGCTCTTCATTGCAGGAAGCCTATTTTGGGTGCTTTGCTCACTGGGCTGCCTGTCCCACTGGGCAGGAAAGGCAGGCAGGCAGCCAGCACAGGGCTGATGTAACCAGTGAGCAGCTCGGGGACTGGCCGTCCTCTGAAGCCCTGCTTCAGATCTGAAGGCTTGGTCTGCTGTCAGGCCATGGTAGAAGTGCAGCTTCTAGGGGGAAGGTGCCTGGAGATGTGTTGCTTGAGCTGACTCTTGCAAGGGCTGAGTTAATCAGATCCCCTCTCTCCCTCTATGTAAGTACAACCCTGCCAAGGTAAGAGGATGTTTCACAGTGCCTGGCTTGTATTGCCTGTCTCCACAGGATCTCTTCTCAGCACTTATAAAAGGGCCCACGCGCACGCCCTATGAAGATGGCCTCTTTCTCTTTGATATCCAGCTCCCCAACATCTACCCTGCTGTCCCGCCTCTCTTCCGCTACCTCTCCCAGTGCAGTGGGAGACTGAATCCCAACCTGTACGACAATGGCAAAGTGTGTGTCAGCCTCCTGGGGACGTGGATAGGCAAGGTAATGCTTTCATCTGCCTGTCTGTGGGGAGCAGTGGTTGGGGCAGGCTGCTTTTGGAACAAGCCACTTCCTACCAGGCCAAGAGTTTTGGATGGTTTCTGGTGTCAGGTGGTGCTTGATCTGGGGATAGCTCTGGCTTTGGGTTGTTGTAGATGTCTGGAGCGGGTAACTGGTGTAGTTTGGCTTCTGCTGGGACTGTATTTGACTCTTGTCTGTCATTCCTTGATGAGAAGCCTGTGGTCAGACCAGCCAGGCTGTGTCATGGTTGGACAGAGCAGAGATGGCAACACCAGCATGGAGTGTTCTCCTGTGTTTTGGGTGCCTGTCTCCCACACTGCAGACAAATCGTGTAGTGTGGCACAAAGTCCAGCTGGAGACTTGGAATAAACACAGCCAGGGAAATGCTGTGTTTTGGGCAGGTAGATTGGCAGGGCAGCTGGGGAGGGGTTGGGACTGGTGTCTGGTGTGGGGGGTTACAGTGTTCCAGGCAGAACTGGCCTGATGGGGTGCAGTGCTGGCAAAAAGTAACCGTTGAGAGATCGGTTGGTACAGTGGGACACTAGCACATCATGTGCTTGTCGAGTCAGTCCTTTGTTCCTGCTATGAGCCACAGGAGCTTAGCAATAGCGGTGCAGAGAAACTGGGGCCTCACTTCGTCTAACAGTTATTGCAGAGCAAACTGATGGTGCTTCAGCCCTTAATGCATTTGTATGTGCATTTCAGGGGACAGAAAGGTGGACCAGTAAATCCAGCCTCCTTCAAGTACTCATCTCCATCCAAGGTAAATGCTTCTGCAGAGCCTGAGGGACAGGAAAAGGTGGAGGGAGGAGGGGATGCAGGCTTATGAGGGTGCACACAATTGGGATCTGCTGCCCCAGTTGGGTTAGTGCTGCCTTTTGCTCTCACCTTGCTGGACAAAGCAGTGTCCTTATCTCTCCAGTTCAGCAGTCAAAGCAGGTGCAAGCTTTTATCATGCCCTGATTTCTGGCTGCATCCCAGGTCTCTGACAATGCTTTCCCTTCTTCTCACTGTGGCAGCTAAGCACAGAGCTGTTTTGCTTGTTATTCTGAGCTGACAAAGGTGACCACTGTGTCTTCAGCCAGTTACCAAAGTTAGTTGAAGTTGCTAAACTGGGCTTCATTCACAGGACTGTGTTTTATCCCCACTGAGTCACCCGCCCATCCTACACTGGGCATATTTTTGCACATGGTGATGGTGTTTATGCTCCTTCTGAAGCAGAGGATAATCGGGGTGTGTCTAGACCAGCCCCAGGGCTTCCTGCCAGAGGGCTTTGCCCTGCCATATCTAGTTTGAGAGGCAGACAGACTAACTCAAATCTCTTCCTCAAGGCCAACTTTCTGTGCAGGGAGGCCAGGCATGTGACTTGAGAAACCTTTGACACAGAGCAAGGGCTCCTGCCTTGAGTCAGCAGGTGACTCCTGCTCCTCTGAAGTCTCACAGTCCACCTGTAGGGGAACACCACCACCACGAGAAAAGCCTTTTCTTTCTTACAAAGCTGAGGATCCAAATTTAGAAAATGAAATACTGAATGTTTTACTAGAGCAACTTTGTGCTAGTGAAAAACCTCCTCTCCCGCTCCTGCTGCCTGGGCTTTGAGAGACTCATGATCTCACCTCCACCAGCTCTAATGCAGTTTGTGGCAGGCTGCCAGCAGCCTGGCAGTATTGGTGCCGTTGCTACATACATGTAATTACATTGGACCAGAAGCAAGCAGGAGAAAGCTTGATATGGGTGAGTTGTCACAGTATTCACTGTCTCAGAACTGCACTGTCTGATGGGATTATGCTGGATAGGATAGGACCTGGCCAGCTCAAAGCCTATTACTGAAGATTGGCCTTTGTTCTGATTAAGAGGAGGAAGAAAAAAAAAAAAGAAAAAAAAAGCTTTGGGTGTGTTTGTGGGTTTTTTTGCTGGGAAGGGAAAGGAACTGTGAAACCTTTCTTCTGCCCTTTTGACCTGCTCTGCTGTCACGTGCCCTCTGCATCATGCCAGTGGAAGACTCTTCTTGCCAGCCAAGGATCTTGAATGCCGCTCTCAGTAGCATCCAAGATCCCCACTGCCCTAGCAGAAGGCCACAGACCCCTGTCCACACGAGTGCTCCCCTTGCGATACTAGTCCAGTGCATCTTGCAGGTTGCTGCTGATTGTCCAACCTGGCCTCTGCTACCTGCTTGAAGTCAAAGCACTAGCTCCCCGCAGTGTGTTCTCCTGTGGTCCCTTCCCTGCACTGCCTGCTGCCAGCCTCTGGCTGCCTACATCGGTGTGGCTGCGGGTGAAGCTGGTGTGATGCCTCAGTGAGGTGGTGCTGTGACCCTTGAACCTCAACCACCTGGGCAGAAATCAGGGCCCAGCAGTGTCTGCCTTGGATGGCAATTCACAGTAAAGTTTCTCCTTTAACCCCTTGGTCTCCCCTTCTCTTGGCAGGTCTCATCCTAGTCAATGAGCCTTACTACAATGAGGCGGGCTTTGACAGTGACCGGGGCCTCCAGGAGGGCTATGAGAACAGTCGCTGCTACAATGAGATGACCCTGATCCGGGTGGTGCAGTCCATGATGCAGCTGCTGCGCAGGCCGGTGGAAGTCTTTGAGCATGAAATCCGTGAGCATTTTCGCTGCAACGGCTGGCGCCTGGTGTCCCGCATCGAGTCTTGGCTGGAGACGAACGAGCTGGTGGAGCGGAGCCACGAACAGGCCAACGGGGCGGATTCTGCCTCCCTCCTCTCTGCCAGCGGCACCCTGGCAGAGAGCCCAGGAGACAATGCAGGATCGCTGGGGGAATACGGCAGCAGCTTGGAGCAGGGGGCAACTGCCGAACTTTCTGACTCGGCGCTCGACGGGAAGGAGGAGCTGGATGAGTCGGAGTTCATAACCTCGACACCCAACGCCGGTGATCTCCAACAGTACTCGGACTCGGAGGGCACAGGCCAAGCCAGGGGGGTAGACCTGGCCAGAGACCGAACGGACGAGGGGAAGGCTGCCCAGGACTCTGCCTTGCAGCCTAGTGTGAAACCAAAGAAAAGGAGAAAGAGCTACAGGAGTTTTCTTCCAGAGAAGACCGGTTACAAACCCTCTTCCCTTTGTCCAAGGGGTTCATTAAAAGCATCCGCGGTGTCTTGCAGCAGTACCGGGCTGCCTTAGCAGGGGCCAATATCCCAGAGTGGACAGAGGACAAATAAACCATCAGGTTAGGGACAGGCAGGTGCAGGGGAGAAGGGAAAGCAGCAGAAAGGAAATTGGCAAACGCTGTTACCAGTAAACTGGCTTCTCCTTCCAGCTTTTCTTCCTCAGCTTGGTTTGTTCCAAAGAAGGTGGTAGGCCTGATTGCTCCTCCGAAGAAGGGTTGCCTAAGCATGAATAACTCTTTGCCCCCAGCCCTTCTTCCTTCCCCCTGTCCCATGTACGTGCTCCTCTTGCGAGTTTGACCCTGCAATGGTAAGATTTGAGACCCGCACAGAAGCAGTCTTGCAGCCACGTTCCCTCTGCACTTTCATCATGGGGCACCTTTCCGCACAAGGACTCTTCCCACCCAGCGCTACACCCAGCAGTTTGTTCTGGTGGGGTTTAAGCCAGGAGACGTGATTGCTCTAGTATCTGGAAATGAAGGGCAATGCCCTCCCAGTCTTTCATTTTTGTCAGCATTGCCATGGGTTTTATGAAGTCTACCCCAGCTTATATGTACTTAGACATTGGATTGTGTTTGCATTGAAGTTGTCTACACCATACAGAGTTGCTCTAGTCTTAGTTGTTCACCGATAGCTTTGAGGTTTTTCCAATCAGGACTTGGTAGGCAGAACCAGAGCTCTGCACTTGCACTGGTGCTGCCATGGTAGTGCTGCGGGGTTTCCATCCAGTTCTGCAACTTCTGGTTGGTTTTCTGGAAGCAATTCTAGCCATCCCCACTTCTTTTTCTCCAGAGTAAGGCAAACTTCCCTTTCGCCACCATGCATGCCTGTCTTCTAGAAATACATGGGATTCAAGGTTCTGCCCTTGTTACTTGCTTAGGTATCTGTGTCTTTTGTTGCCAGCCATCCTGGCTGTCACACAGCACTACACCTACCCCCGGATCTCAGCCTCGCCTGGGCAGGTGGCAGCGAGTGACCTTGGGATGTACTGTAGATCTAGTAGCTAGTCTGGATGGTAAACCTGGCGTGGCTGCTGCTTCTCCATCATTTGGCTGTAGATGGGTATTTCGGAGCTGGTTGAGCCAGGGTCACCCAAGGGAAAGGAGCTGTTGTGTTGTGACGAGGTCCTGTTGTAGCAGCAGCACTTTGTGACTGTTCCTGTGCTGTTACTCAGCCAGCAACTGGAGCACATCAGACACTAGTGCGGACTGTTATCAATTCCTTCCATTGCCAGCTGTTTCCCGTGGTGGCCTGGGTCCGCTGTGGCCAGCAGCGTTGTGGGCACAGCATGTACTATCCCTAATCTCAACTGCAGCGCTGCTGTGCTGCTTTGGGAAACGGTTGGCAAGATCAGCCCATGTTTCAGCAGCAGAGAGCTGTCTGAGCTGGTGACCGTGAGCACTTTGAAGCAGTGACTTGCCAGAGTCTCCTGGTCAAGACACCTTCCTGAAGCCTCACTTTCTGTGTGCACGCACTTACTTTATTTCTGGAGCTGGGAGATCACACTCCAGCACTACTGCATTTGCCCAGTGTTTAGGCTTTGGAGAAGCACCCAACTTAGCATCCATGTGGAGCACAGTCTGTCAGGGAGAGTCCATTGGTCCTTCCAGCTGGCACAGGGAGCCAGTGGTGCCGGGCTTGCCAGGGAGAGGAGTCAGGCTGAGCAGACAGCTCTGCCAGAAGTAAGGATGGAGCCAAATCTCTCCTTTGCTCTTGCTTGATATGGCTGCGTTCCCTTCCCCC